AGGTAACCATAGTTTTTTGGAAAGTAATTCTGCCGAATTATCCCAAAAAGTACCAGTCTTTACTTGTGTTTTATTTGCGATAATTTTTCTGGGAACGTTCAAAGATATATTCAATCCAACTGTATTTTCTTGCATACAGAATGAATTCTTATGTTTAATATGCAGAACAAAGCTTTTTATTTTTAGAATTAGTTCTGTATTCGCATTTTTATTAACCTATTCTCTACAGTTTTGTAGACGAACGAAAGATAAAAAATTAGTGGAATTGTTAGCAATTAAGTTATTCGAACGAAATGGGTATTGAGAATTTATTTACTTCTACTCACGTGTGATTCTTTGGATTGCTCTTTGGAACTAGGTTTGCAGACACTATCTCGGAAAGTTCCAACTACGACATCTTAATCCCTTTCTCTCTGTTACCATCATCACAACATAATCAATATGCCGATGCACAATTCGTAGATGAGTTGCTATAACAGGACAAGTGAAAATGACTGCCGTACATTACGAATTAATGTGTCACGTTGCGAAGTAAGTCATTCCATGAATATCTACACGCCTATATTCTTTGTAACATTAATCAGAGGATGTTATTATGTTATCCCCTCAAAAAATAGAATTGGAATAAAAGTCTCTAAAAAATTAAGAGTAGCAACGCAAAAGACACATACCATTTTTTCCTAAATGAAAACACCCCAACTGTATATGGAAATTAACTGTTTAGGTGGTGATACTAATTTAACTTGGATCTGTCGTTACGTTTTCAGTGATCGAGAATATTATAAGGAGTAACTATTTCATATGATGCAGAGATTGGACTTGTATGAACATATATCAAAGTTTCCTAATGGTAATGTGCGATTGCCAAATTAGTCTTTAGACCTTCCAAACTACCCTCTGGGTAGGACTTCCTCTCGAATTAGTCCGTAGGATCTTCGAAGAAGTAAAACATTTGGTTTTATGGGAAGTGGCATCATGATTACATTTTTTTCGAAATATTGCTGGTTCTTATTTAATAGTGTGTTGACCATATTTCTTTAGAACCTTCTCGTTATCGAATGATTTTCATATCTATTCATATCCAAACCCACACTCGTTGTTTTCGATCTGCGAATCTACTTCGTACCCAAAGGGTAAAATGCTGCCATATTTGCAACCTACATTATAAATCCTGTTTGAACTACCTGAAACTCGTCTAGCGGTTTTCTCTTGCTATTTTTTCACGTTATCTTTGCTGAGTTGCAAAACAATAGAGAAGGTGTAATATATTTTTCTTCGTTCCTCACGCTTTAGCACCTTACTGACAGGGAAATCACGGAAGGCATACCTGTTACTAGTTCGTATGTATTTTTTTTGTAACGATGACGTATCGTATACTGTATATTGTTGTGATCCGTTAGCTGGAGAGCATTTCCTTTGATAAATAAGTACGATGAAACGGTAAGTTATCTCATCTGTTGTGCAGAGATAGTTGGTTTGTTTCACAACAGATGATGTTCACTTCCGAAGGAAGGTCTAACGACTAGTTCCGCTCTATTTTCATAATATCTGATAACAAACATTCGATGTGCATTAATCAAAAGTGGTAATAGTTAATCGTTAGTTATAATAAATTCATCACCTATTTCGAAGAATATAATTACGTTATTTATATTGCACAAAGTTCTGAGCTACTTGATTTCATCCATATTCTCTGTATACATTAGATAATATATCTACTCGTGACTTCACCTATCCCTTAAACAGTTTCCAATAAATAGCGAAATTGACGTGGAATCTATTTATTATGGCAGTCACACTGCCCAGGATTAATCCCCAGAAAATACTGCCCTACGTGATTTCATGTGAACCAATTACAGTGTATGGCACTGCTTTGTTCATAATTTTAGTTATTGATACAAGCCCACGTTAGTCGGAAAATGGTACACTTGTACCATAGTGGCATTCTGAAACAGTACTCTATTATGTACGAATCATACCCTGTGTTTCGGTGAAATAACTGCGGAACAACAAGGGTCTAACGATAGTCCGGCTAAAATAATTTTGTTGAAATACCATTCATAAGAAACAATGCACAGTTGGCATGAATTAGCGGGGTTGTGGAAAGAATATGATAACAAAGATTGTAACTATTACCACATAATTCGAAAAAATATTACTAACGAATTTTAACATCCTGATATAAACATAATCGAGTTAACAGGGTCATAATGTCTAATTGATTCTTATCGGAAAGATGCCATTCCAGAGAAACTCTGGCTGTGCCACGAAGTGAAGAGAAACGTAGAGGAAAATGTGTAATGACATGTGAGCTTCTCCCAGTGTTATATGACATCGATCCCTAAAGGTCCCATGTCATGTGTTCATGAGCAACCTGCTGTGAATACTGAACCTGTTATGAACTTCGGTTAATACACATTTGTCATACCAGTTACTTACGGGTTTTGTTAGTTATCTCCCTAAGAATGAAAATGCCAAGAAAGATGAACTACAATAATTTGTTCGGTCATTTGCCAAATGAAAAACAGTACTTGTCTTATATCTGACTGGGTGTTTGTGTCCAATGCAAATTTTTTCACGCTAGCGCATTATATTTTGCTCTTCGAGCAGTCTCCGACCGATAATAGTTTGGTATACGTATTGTATTTTCCTACAGCTTGATAATTCTTATTGTTGACTACAACTCATGATATGTATATCAAGGCATTTCATTATGCATAGCGTGTCCCTATTAAGCCCTTTTTACAGTTCAGTCCGTTCTGTAATTTTCCTGGACGGGCTGTCTCAGAAATCACGTAACTTTAACGACTTCAAATTTTGTACTCCAAAGTCACGTGAATGGCTGCGTCAAAAATCATATGACACTCTGAAAATTTGTGTAGAGTGTCACATGACACGTTACGTCATGTCTTATAAATATATTCTTTAATGTTTGATACTTATCCGATTTTCTACGCATAACGGAACTCACTACTTGACTCCGACAGAATTTTTACCTACAATGGGTAACAGATGCGATGAAATTTGAATGACCAGTCCATTATGAAGGAAGCTTAGTTCGGGTGGACAACGTAGACAAAATATTACGTAATCTATTTTCAGCCAATCCTTTGACCAAATTCAGTTAACTTTAAGTCATACAGTGGAACCGCCCGTAGGATAACTATGCCTTTCCATTTCTGATTAATGCGAAACTGCCTTCACTATAATGTCATTCATCATATTTTACGAGATTCGACAAAAATGATATTCGTACAGGAATATTGTGGAATTGACAGGATTCACATAAGTTTTTCTTATTTATACCTTCCAGTTACCAGTAATTGTACTATTTCCATGGAAGTGCATAAGTATGGCTTTAGCCTGAACTCAACCACACTTTTTTATTCATTCGTGAGACTTGTTAACTTCTATAAAAGTAGATTAATAAACGTAATACATAGAAAAAACTGTCTTAGAACGCACTTTTGGTGCTTCGCTAGTTCTCAATAGTGTAACAAGATGTAACGATTGATCCCATTTTGTTGGAAAAAATACACAATCTCGAACTTTCCAAGTGTCCTGTTATCTAAACTAGAACCAATCAGTGAATGTACATGTTTTATGCAGAGCAAACTAGTTGACATATGTTATATAACAAAAGTAACATACTAATTATGGACTTACTATATGAGCGATATTATGTGTTGCACCTACTACGTGGTTCCATATCCTCTATATGAGCTATGTTCATTGCCATAGATAAAAAATTCTATGGGTTTCTACTTTGTAGTCCCACCTAGACATGCCGTTGTTTTGTTTATTTCACTGAAGAGATTCTCTAAAGGGGGTCAAAGACAAATAGATAAAACAATTATAATGGGAAAAAACATGCATGAAAGCTTTTGGGTTATTGATGGCAACTGATTCATACTGCTATAGGACGAAAACTTTCAATTATATTACAAGTATATCTGCTGTCTCGCATGTTAATAACTCTGATCGAGGGTACTGAACTTCGTTACCATTTTTCTGAACAAAGTAATAAAAACAACATTACCACATGATTTTTAAACGCCCATGGGACTTCTAATATGTAAAAAATATGTTTATTGTTATCTGACAAACCATTTTAACCACATATTCTCCGCTGTGATGAATGTGATCTGTGTTTTATGAGTTACTACTGCGAGTTGATTATTAGTGGACGATAGTTATTACTGCGACGAAAAATAGTGGAAATCATTATCCACCGTCGGAAGTGAATATCAGATATTAGTGAACAACAATTATCTACTGCGGAAGTGGATATTAGTTATCTGATGCGGGGCAGTTATTAGTGGACAACTGTTACCTACTGCGGAGAACACATGATACTCTATACCTAGTTAAAGACAATTAGTGGAGGTTTCTTTTTTAATCCAAATCACATGACTTTGATTGTAAAAACGATAAACGTGCAGAATTTTGTTTTTTGTAACGATGCTGTTGCGTTTGTAACGATGCGAATACATTTGTTGTATTTTGTTAGTAACGGTAGGCTACGTATTTTTGTAATGATGAAATATATATCGTTGCAATCTGTTGGTAACGATAATGTACTGTATGTGGCTGTAATCTTCCACCCGCATTTAACATATGTGTTTCCATACAAGTACTACAAGAGAAGAGGACTCCTGTATAAATTTCTTCGTTATGCTTACCTCTTCGACTCTATAATTTCCTTCGTTCCTCAGAAAAATCACGGAAGACATTAGCTGTTACTAGTTCGTATGTATTTTTTTTTGTAACGATGACGTATCGTATACTGTATATTGTTGTGATCCGTTAGCTGGAGAGCATTTCCTTTAGAAATGTAACGATAGTTACAAGTTAGTATATATTTTTGTAACGATGAAGTATATATCGTATTGCTGCAATCTGTTGGCAACGATAGTATATATTTGTTACGAGTTCGTATATATTTTGGTAACGATGATGAACATATATATTTATTACAAGTTTGTTACGTTTTTGTAACGATGAACGCATATGCCGTAGATACTATTGATAATAGACGTATATTATTTTTTGAACAAGAGGTATGCATTTGGCTACATCACCCATTGGGTGTCCCATAACATAACAATAATGTACTGAATATATTACGAGCTTGAAGCATATCTTTTGTAGTGATGAAGTATATGTTGTTGCATGGCCACTGGTAACTATTTCTGTATATATTTTTTGTAACCGTGATGTGTATATTAGTTACAGTCTGTATATATTTTTTCGTAATAAGGTTGATATGTTTTTTCGTAATGATGGATGTATTTTCTTTTGTTGCAATGCATATAGTTGGGTAATGAAGTTCGATTTTATCTTTATTTCATGAATGTATTTTTTGTAACAGAATATGCTCGTGGTAACTAAGAATTGTACCACATGGCCAGGTAAATCACGTTCATGCTAATATACTGTCTATGTCATCTACTTCGTATCATCCGAGTAAAAACCTCCGCTTATATTCTTGTATTACTTTCGCCTTTTCGAGGGGTACGTAGCACTCAGAAATGTAGTGCTGATGCATATCTATCGATTTGAACAAGGGTTATCATATAAAAAAGATATGGTCGAATACTTTTATTCTGTAACAGACAAAAAACAATCCTTGAATGCTGGTGTACATGAAAATAAAAATTATCGTTTTGAACATAAGCCCCTATATAAAAAAGAAATGGCCGAGTTTGATTTTTACACTCCTACTGCCGAAGAACAGGAGATGATCGACCAATATCTTGCAAGGACAGACGCTGAGTACCGTGCCAGGAATCGTGCTAATATAGATTCATCTGTGAAAAGGTTTAACGCCGAACTCGTAGAGAAATACGGTGCCGAGAACCTTAATCCTGAAGACTTTCTTGTCATTCCCGAAGAGGGTTATCACGATGGTTTGTTCGAAAAATATTTCAGAGCATGTATTGACAGAGTCGAAAAGAAATTCCGAAATAAACAAATTCATATCAATCGAGAGTCTGCGTTTTTACCTGTTGTCATGAATGATGCTCTGCGAGAAATGCTAGCTCGCCCCGACTATTTGGAATGTATCGCTTCTTTCGTAGCAAGTATTAATGGATATTCTTCTGACACTAAAGGAGAATCGAAACCTAATACAACTGACCATGTCAATGGGGATACTAATAATTTGTGTTCATTGTCTCCAAGCGAGTCGTGGTCAAAAGGGAGGGAGAACAAAGAAGTGCCACAATCAACGCATTCACCTCGTGGACAACGCCCAGAATTTGCCAATAACCTGAAGTGTGATGGTAACGAGCATGCTAGCATTTCTGTTATTTCATCCTTCACAGACTATGCAATAACCAGTAATATCTCTTCTTGCTGTCCACATTCATCGACTATGAGATGTGCCGTGGAGTCTCGTAGTTACCTGCAAGAATTTCACCTAAAGGAATTAGTACACTGTAATGCAGAGCGCTTTTCACAAACGTTTGCACATAAAGATCCATCTGGTTCACTTCGTGGGCAAAGCCCAGAACTTATCAGTTACCGCCCTGACTACAACTCCACTCTTTCTTCTCACGTTAACCATGATGATCCTGGGATCACAAACTCTAGGCAGAGTCTAGTCCCGTGCTATGTCCACGAAGTGAAAGGAGGAAAAAACTTGTCTTCGTACACAGAATCGATGGATAAAAATAGACAGATAATGGGGATGATGTCCATGACGAGTGGAACGCAAGGAACAGGCACATCGTGTGGTATGGTACTAGCTATTCAAGGAAATAATAAAATATTTGTTTACGATATGGGGATATAAGTATGCCATCATGATGAAGATAAATGCAGCCTAACCTTTGAAGGACCCATTATTGGCAACATCATCAATTCTTTTGTATCGAGTATATCAGTACCTGTTGTACTTCGTTCATTGTTACTTAGTTCTGGAGGGACACATATACATAGAATCTCAGCTAATCCATATATTTCTGTAAGCACACAATCGTTAAAACATCATATGGCAGAGTGGCTTTACCTGCGTTGGAGACATATGAGAATAAAGGGAAGAATGTCGTTAATGTTTGGTTCAATTGTCGTCAAAAGCAAAACTCTTACAGTTCCATCAAGTCTCGATCATTCATTGTTTCATCACATCAGCAAGATAGTTAATGATACTCTGGGATCAAAAAAATTATCTACACTGACAAACTTATTCTACTCACGTACAGTCAATCATGTACATCTACGTTTGTGGATAAATAACGGATAGAGATTTGTAGGCCATATCTAAGGGAAAACACGAAACCTGACATAGCCTCTACGATTATCACGTGAAAATGTTCTCTGATTAACAGGTACAGTAACACGATTTGTTTGTAAACTGAGTTCACAGTCTCAGCACGTAACTTTTAACACACAAAAAGTCATAACTATACAAGGGTGTATTTATCTAAAAAACATGGGGAGATTATACTTATCACCAAAATACGGGGAGAATACGATTGTTCGCAAACATGGGGGTTTTTGTGTTATCTGAAAAACACGTAGATGAAAAATTTCTCATTAGATATTTTTATCCCGATATTGATGGCAAATGAGACAACAACATATGTACCACTTATGTACCTAAGCATACATCCATAATCAAAGAATCCATTCTGAATGATTAAGAATAGCATGGTGAAGATGAGTAGTATACTGAGCATACAAATGATTGTTATCGATAAAACCATCTATCGGAGAGGACGGTTATACTGTGGATAAAACGAAAAGCTATGATTAACGTTGAAGAACGTATAAAATAAGATAACGAATACTTATTGATAATATAGTATTACAAAGTAATTGAGAGTGGTTTTTGGTAACACACGCTTAGTTACTGATATTGATTGTGGGACAGATTATTAGTGGACAACAGGTATCAAACGTGACATCGATACCCAAGGGTCCTATGTGGGCGTTGCCCAGCCAAAGGCTCATGTGCTCTTGAGAGTAATAATTCTCCCTTTCGAATTAATATCTAGTGATGAGCATAACTATTTACGTATTTTATTTTGTGGAATATCATTTGAGTACGAAAAATTGTTGCCGTATTAAGTCTGGCTTTATGCGAAAAAATATCGGTTCACAGGGTATCATTCGATCAAAATGCATTATCGCCATGTATAATAGCTTTAGGGATACCTATTAATCTTTTTACGTAATCAAAAATTTTTATTACTTAAAATAACAGTTACATCAGCAACAAACAGTAAATACTATATAGGGATATGATTTACATAATAGTTGTAACCCTTTTTTTTCTTCACAAAGTCAAACCCATCATCATATTGCGAATTAAAGGTCTTATCTGTTTTGGGTGTATATAGATTACCTATCAAATTACACTTTAGTTTTGGATCAATGATACTTAGAGCATAACCAATGACTGCTAAACGTAACCATAACTGGCGATATCCTTTAGTTACCATTTCTGTACTATCAGACTTTTTTATTTCTCCAATCTCAATATTAAACGTTTCAATATCGCCATTTGTTGTCAAAGGTGTTAGCAGTCCTCGCACGTCTATCTCCAATTTTTCTACAAATAGTGCTTGTTTGTATTTTATGGCGCTTTGTAAACTCATTACCATAGAAGAAAAAAGCATGATGGTGAACCCGGGTTCATGGATTAAAAAAGAGCGTCATTCCTTACTTCCTAACCATTGACAAATATGTAAGTTTCTCTGTCGATGTACTATCTTACTTATAAATGATAACATCCATTACTCTACCTTTTCTTTCCTTAACTTCTTTTATGAGTTTATTCGCACGAGAATATCCAACCGTATTCTGCTGATAGCATAAAACATAGGATCTTACTTTATCGTAATTCAGATTTCTCAATGAACCAACCGACGTTAGGAATCACCAAAAACAAATGGTAATGAATGGCAAGACTATCAGGGGTCTGTTTCACAAATCTGGATTAATAACATCGAAAACGGCTGTCTACATATAAGCAATAATCCTATTGTGCACAAATAACCAGAATATATTAGCATGCAAATGATCTAACCGTAATCATCCCATAACTCGCTATTATATTGGTGATCTATCAGCATTTCTGAGTTCCGATTTCTAGTTGGGAAATGATCCTTCGTATCACACATCATCGACAACGCACCCCTTAAGTCTATCAAACGTTTTAGTTGAAGATCGACTCTATCAAAATAAACGGTGGAATATTATTACTCCAATAAGTAATTCCTACCCAAAGGGTACGAAGTAGAATAAACATGAAAAAGGGTAATTTGTGTTAACATAGAAACTAAAAATTTGTATTAAACCGCATGTATACTTGTTTACATAAGTCACTAATCGAAAGGGGCTATCAACAAAAATATAAGTGAACTATTCCCACTTTTTGTAGTCAAGAACTCAAGATCCTAAATATGCATTAAGTTATTGCTCCGTATGTCCAGATCTAAGGAAAACATTTAGTTACTAAATCGCTAGGAAATGTCTGTTACTCTCAAAGGAACTCGTTAATATTTTTTACCTTGCTACGGTTTTCACAACTAGATTCTGGTGCTTCGCACCCGTAGTAACACATTGCGAAGCAATGCCCTTCAGGCATTTCCTACAACTTTAAAAGGAAGTTCTAGGACCCTAGGTTTCTAGTCGAAGAGGTGAAATGGGCCTCTCCTGGGATCCCATCTCTGCGCACGGAATATCATCCCTCAAATACAATTAGTCAATCGAAGACTAATTAACTTAGGATGACATGAAACTATCAAGAAGGCAATCATGGAATTAAGACCATTGACCCCAACCACAGAACAAGAAGTAATAGTAATTGATGAGGAACATAATCCATCAAAAAAACTCTCTGAAATGAAGCATCATGAAAGTAATGATAAATATGGCAGCAAATTAGGAAAAAAAATAGATAAATTGGAAGAAATATTAAAAAACAATCAAAACAAATTAGAGTTTTATACGAGCTACAAAAATTGACAAATAATCAAACAAAGTGGATCCAAGATCAACTAAGACAGCAAACTGACAATAATAATGATGTTGATTTGACTCCAAAGATCTTCACCGTAAGTAATTTTATTTTTCTCTTTAAATAACTATGATAATTTTCATTATACAATAAAAATAATATAGGAAGGGTATATTCAAGTATGCCGAAAATTTTTTCCAAGTAATTTGTGGCCCAGCTTTGATGATTTTAAATCTGAATTAGAAAAGTGGCTCAATTTACATCATCCCAATTATTTAAAAGAAGTAAGTGAACGAAAGTGGACTAATTCGTTTGTCGGAAACCATCATACTATGGTAATTATCATTAATTATATAAATACGATTTAATTTAATTGTAAATTTCAAATTTTATTAATTTTTTATATTAATTAGATTCAACATAAAATGAAAGATTTAAGGGGTACCTCTGCCGCAGCAGTTAGGAGTGCAATTTTTAAAGAATTGGGATTACAGATTCCAAGCAGTAAGAAAAAAAATACTCCAGTTGACATTTCGGAATGGAAAAGATCGCAAAAGGTCAAGGAATGCTATTATAAATTATATGACGAAGATGAAAATGTGATAGAGAATATTGCAAAACAAGCATTTCCAACCTTATCTCATAACAATGAATTATTATTTAACGATATTTATGTTTATACAGCATCTGTGTGCGATATTGTATTAAATCCTAACTATCCGGATATAGAATGTGCAAGAAAACCATTGGAAAGACGTTTTCGAAAATTCAAGGTGATTTTTTTGTTAATTAAAATTGAAATTATCAAATTTTTCAATTATAATTCTAAATTAATATTTTAGGATTCACTCTTGAATAATGAATCTATTGAACTTGATGATTCGATATCAATATTACGAGAAGAAATCCCAGAAATGAAAAAGAAAGTAGTAGTTGAGAAAGATAATGAAGAGGAACCTCATTCAGAGGAAGCTTATGAACAAAATTTCGATGAATTATTTGATCATAGTGACTAAGTATTTATAAAGATCATGGACAACTTTAAGCTTCCCTCAAGAAGTAATTTTTCGATATTGATCATACTTTTATGCTTAGTGATATGTTGTATTATTTGTAATGAATATTTTTTATTTTTATTTTTCTATTAGTTATTTAGTATTGCTATTATTAAATGCCGGTCCTTATATGATCGACATAAAATTATTATGCAGATCCGGGGGGAATTTACTATGAAAAACTATGATATACAAATAATTGTCAACAATACCGATAAGGAAAACCCCAAATGTTGTGTAAACAGACACAAAAAAAATCACATTACTCTGTTCTTCATAGCCCGTTCAAACAATATATATAAAAAAAAATACTCTCTTTATTATTTAAAACGCACTTATAGTACGGTCGACGTTGGATTTTGGTATAAAGAAGTATATTACTAGTAAAATTGCAATTTCTAAAATTTATTACAACCAAACCAAAAACCCATTATTCATGTATTTTTTGAAGATTCTGCTTCTTCCAAAGCACGAAGTGAAGCAGAAGCTTTAAAAGTTCTAGTATAATTTGCAATCCAGTTTTGAATGGTTTGAACTTTTGGAATATCATTTTCTTCTATTTTTTCTTGTGACGCACGTTCTGTAAGATTATCATACATTTCTTGTGCGGACATTTTCTTTCTTTTGTCAATATTTCCATTCAAAAACATTGTTTCCATTAGCGCTTTAATTTCTGGTTTTATTCTTTTTACCGTTCCTCGCTGATTTATTATTTGTTTTTCTTTTAATGCCCACCCCGCAAAGAAGATACCACGTCTATAAATGAATAAATATTAACAAATTGACCAATGGCAAGAAAATATCACAATGTATTATAAAACTTACATTGTGTTTTGTTGTGTATTTTCTTTATTTGTGAGGTCAACCAAATCCAAATCAACAGAAGAAATTATGATCTAATTGGGAATTGGGTTAATATTTGTACAGTAAATAAAGGGATTGTAAGTATTTACCGTATTTATTTTCTGATTATTGTTTTGGATATTATTTATTTCTGATGCTAATAAAAAAGTATTGGAAATTTAAGATTAGAGTTCAAAATTAACAAAAATACGATCAATAACTTACAAATTGGTCTTAATATTGGAGTTACCCATTGATTAGTTGCTTTAGAAGGAGTAGTAAAACTAGGATTTGGTTTTGTAGTTGGAGTTTTTTCCAACTTTTTTATTTTCGCTGGCGTAATCGTTGTCCATTCATTTATATGAGGTAAGGCACGTGCAAGTATATGACCTGCATTAGGACCATCAACTGGCCAAGACCATTCATTCCAATTATTTATACCAGCTATAGTTCTGATCTTTGTTTTTTTGTCTATTCAAAAAAATTGTATCAAAAATTCAATCTAATATCTAAAAAATCAATATATTTTTTTTTAATTCTTACCAAATTCACGATCAGGTGTCAGTTGTGAAACGCGAGCTCCTGAAATATTCTGTATTGCTTTTTGAATATCTTCTCCATCAGTAATATTCAATCCAAGTCGTACATAACGTTTTATTGCTTGTGAAATCTACAAAAATAAAATAATGTAAGTAATAAAAAAAATATTTTTCTTCAAGTTTTACATTACTTGAGCATGATGGGAATCTATTGATGTTTTGGCTTCTCCAGCCTCTAAGAATATCCACCGTCTCACTTCTACATTGTACCAATCATACCAATAAGAAAGGATGATCATCAGTTGTGTATTGTGATAATGTGGACCATTATCAGAAATAATCGTTATCCATTTAGGTTTTTGTTCAAGATTTTCTATTACAGCATGGAGAGAAGAGGCAGTGAACCAAGCATCTTGCTTGGTGTCATCAGACCAGTGATCGAATGCTTCAATATTCATAGTTTGTGTACCTTTGATTTTTTGATACACAAGAACTGAATGCAAAGTCCATCCGCGTTTTCCAAAAAATTCAGATTTTGTCTCACGAGAAGTTTGTGAAAGAATTCTCATCTTATAATCAACAATAAGGACTGCACCTTCATCATCCAACTCTTGAAGTCTAATATTAAATTGTGAATTTAGGTAAAATTTTCTCATAAGGTGAGATAACCAGAATATTAGTTGCTTTAGTTTAATATTCAAAAATTCGTGATGCTCGGCTGATAATTGTTTTTTTAACAGCTCAAAGATGAAAAATAATTTATTGCATTGTGAACATGCATCAGTATGTGATTCTGAACATATTCCAAAAGCGTGAATTAAGCAATGACAGATACAAGGATTGTGTTTTGGTTTTCCGGTAATATCAACTTTCAACTCTTTTTCAAAATCCTTTCTGAGATATCGTCGAAGAATCTGTAATTGTTTACATAAATCGTTCTTTTTTCAAATAATAGACGCTATTATTATTATTATAACGTGATAATTACAAAGGTACATGAAATATTTACCTTCAATTGCGTATTTACAATATTATTTTCTATCAATTTTTCAAGATCTAAAAATACCTCATAAAAATTTTCATTGCATATTGAACACAGTCCCCCTAAATTTTCCTTATAGACAAATCTACCACTTTCCAATCGTGTCATAAAGGATGTACGTCCCATACCATTAGGATAAAGTTCTGTGAACTTTTCCCATAAAGATTTTTTATTATTCTGCAGGTACAAGATAGGTAATCCACTTTCATTATCCGTCTTATAGGATGACATGTTTACATTATTTTTATCAGAAAAAAAAGAGTCAAATTGATCTAATTTTTCTTGTGATAATCTCATACGATGTGTGACAGGCTTCAACATCGGAGGGCAGCCGTAACCACATAATCGTGAATGTCGCTTTGCATCAATTATTGTGTGACTTCCAACCTATGATTTATAATAGGTGCATGGTGTAACAAAAAAAAATCATACGATCTTAATTTTTTTGAATAATTTTTTCAAATAATTTTTTTTTTCGAATAATTTTTTTGAATAATTTTTTCAAATAATTTTTTTTTCGGATAATTTTTTCAAATAATTTTTTTTTTGAATAATTTTTTTCAAATTATAATCTCATTTTATTATCAAATAATAAATCAAATAATATATTTTTTCTAATATTTATACATAAAATCTATTCAAAATGTTTTTGTTTCTATGAACGTATATATATTTCTAAAATCTATATTTCTATGAATGTATGTATATTTCTATGAATGTATAAGTCTATATTCTATGAATGTATATAGTCTATATTCTATGAATGTATAAGTCTATATTTCTATGAACGGATAAGTCTATCAAAAATGTTTGTATTTCTATGAATGTATAAAATAAAATCTAAATAGATAAAAATTGGGCTAAATCCTTTCTGTTTGTAAGTGTGCTTTTGTTGTTATTATATTACACTTACCTTCAGGTTTTTTTCAAGTTGGGAGTATGTGAATTGATCAGCAATTATAGATATAACCCTACGCTTACCATCATGGGTTTTTTTATTTTCTTTTATAGCACGATCAAAACAATACCAAAATTTTTTTGTCGAATTTGGCATATGAATGGGTGTTGATACAAGAAAGCCCATTTTGTAAAGATTTGAAATTGTATCACTATCTTTTATAGGATTAGAGGCTCGCGTCCAGAACTGAAACTTTTTATAATAAAGTTAGTATGCAGATTGAATTATCTCTTTTATATATCAAATACAAAAAACTAACCTTTGATTCATCAGAATTGAAAGGAGTGATCAGATGAGCACCAGCCGCTTTTAGCAAAGCTCGCCATGCACGCAATTCCCTATCCCCAAATTTATGACGTTTTGGATAAATTTTTTTCAGATTTGAATAAAGCTCAAAAATATCACTATCTTGTTTTCCCCATATATCAAAAATTGTATACCAATTAATCTTTGAAATAGTTCGTCTCTTTAGATGATATTCAAATAATTTTGACATCAGAGACAGATTACCCCAATTACTAGGCGTGCATGTGGGAACATGATGCACGCGTAATGAATTTTGTGTTTTTTGATCTTTGAGACCATAAAGTTCGCTCCCATCATACTTTTTCATAAACCATGATTTGCGCCAAACTTCACTTGGTGTAGAGCCACGAATTATTTTTATTTTTTGTGCTTGTTGATAGATTTCAATAATACATTCATTATCAACAATTCTTGAAACAAATAACGCTTGTTTCTTATTGTAAAAGTGAAGGAGAGATGATGAATAGCCTGAACCAGCATTATGCCACTCGGGATGAGATGATACCCCTAAGTCATGTATAAAAATTTTATATTTATCAATTGTAATTTGAAATGGAATAAATCTAACACCACGAGATATTTCTTCTATTATTTTTGGATCGTTTTGTCCTATTATTGTTGGTCCCGAAAATTTAGTTGAGTTATGAAAAATTTCATTATATAAAGAGCTAATAGCTCTAGTAGGAGAGGTTTCTATTTTCCCAGAAAATGAACCTGAACTACAAAAATATCCAGGCTGTCTAGGGTGTTCTGAATTTCCAAGAACCACTGAAACTATAAACTCCCGATTATTGCGAAAAACACGAGTCTTCTGACCCAAGCGAATAGGAAAAAAAATATGTTCGTTACTACCATTTGTAGATCGGGAACTCCACCAGTAACGGGCGAATGGTCCATAGTGTAAATTTTCATTAATAGTGCCTGGTGTTAACAATGTAACTGGAACTTCAAGGTGTTTTGCCATTATTTTTGTGAAAGTAAGAAGTCAACAGCAGATTTTAAACGCGACCTTTATTACTATGAGATTATCCCCGAATGTTATTATTATCGATATTAATAATCAATGTCGATCATAACCGGATTAGCACTTAAAACAATTGAATTTTATGTTAATTATTTATCGTTAATAAATGTAATAAGTATTTTTTGATGATTATCAATTAAATATTTTCGATATATATCACTTTGGTTAAATAATCGGTTAGGTCAAATAATGATATTTATCACTTAATCGTATTTTGATAATTATCGATTGGGTTAAAGTTAGATAATG